GAACTCACAGAGATCCCCCTGCCTCTGCCTCCCATGTGCTGGGACTAAAGGCGTGCGCCACCAACGCCCAGCAAAACATGTTTTTTTAACGAGGTAAAACACCATGTGGTCTTATGGTATTTCATCTAATTTGAAACAGTAAGTAGAAAGTACACCCTCATTTTATGTACTACTACAGAAGAACAAGTTACTGCCAATCAAATTATCACACTAGACAATTTTATCATTTAGAATTTATACTTTTTAAGTGTTGAAGTTTTTCTTTTCTTTTTTAAAAAAGATTTATTATGTAAACAGTGTTCTGTCTGCATGTATCCCTACGGGCCAGAAGAGGGCGCCAGATCTCATTACAAATGGTTGTGAACCATCATGTGGTTTCTGGGGACTGAACTCAGGACCTCTGGAAGACCAGCTAGTGTTCTTAACCACTGAGCCATCTCTCCAGGCCCCAGTTTTATTTTCTTAATTAAAACTATTGTTTTTACTGTATGTGTGTGTGATGTGCATGTGTGGGTGTGGGTGTCACAGCATGCGTATGGAAGTTAGCTTATGCAAGTTGGTTCTCTCCTATCATGTGGGTTCTGGGGATAGACTCAGGTCACAAGACTTGCATGGCAAGTGCCTTTACCCCAGTGAGCTCCCTTCCTGACCCAAAGATTTGATTTTCTTCTTTAAAAAATGTGTATGGGTGTTTTGCCTGTGTGTATATCTATGCACCAAATGCATGCCTAGTGACCAAGGAGGTCAGAAGAGGGTATAGCCCTGGGACCAGAGTTACAGGTGCCTGTGAACTGCCATGCTGGTGCTAGGAATCGAACTTAGGTCCTTTGGAAGAGCACCTAGTATTCTTTTTTTTTTCTTTTAGATTTTATTTATTATGTATACAGTCTTCTGCCTGCTTGCCAGCAGAGGGCACCAGATCTCATTCAAGGTGGTTGCGAGCCACCATGTGGTTGCCCCATGTGGTTCCCAGGAATTGATTGAACTCAGGACCTCTGGAAGAACAGTCACTGATCTTAACCACTGAGCACTCTCTCCAGCCCCACCCAGTACTCTTAATCACTGAGCCATCTCCAGATTTTCTTAAGACTCACTTAGAAATGGATATGTATGTCTGTGTGTATGTATGCACACACGTATATTGCATTGTTGGTGGTTTTGTTGTTTGAGACAGGATGTCGTCCAGGCAGTGTTTGGACTCCCAGCAATCCTTTTGCCTATGCCTCTTGAATGGTGATGTGAGTGTCACTATGCTCATCTTGGAAGTGGACTTTTAAGGTGTGCCATTCTCGTGGGTGTTATAGAAAACACTAAAATGAAATGCAACGGCTAAGGTGTTCACAAAGTATCTTTATGCTTGAAATCTGATGCCTTGAATTACTACTGGACCCTGTGATTTGCTGTTTCTGCAGAACACTCATTGCCATTAAGAACATGGATGATTTCTACAGGAAAAACAAGTGTTCCATTGTTTTCCTTCATATCCTCATATCCATTCTGTTTTGATGTTGCTGTTTTCTTTGTCTTACCAGAAGGTGTCAGCCAATGACAACGGCTGCCTGGCCAGCAGAAACTCTAAGATTCCAGTAACTGTTGGATGTATTTGAGCTTCAGAAAATTAAAAAAACCAAAACACGAAGAAATGTGTTGTCTTAGGATGGAATTCAAAGTGCTGGCCTAACACACACAAAACCCTGAGCACTTCATAAAGCAGATGTGGTGGAACATGCCACCATGTATACTTCCAGCACGTAGACATAGGAGGCAGGAAGATCATCCTCTGCTACATTATGAGTTTGAGGCCAATCTGAGCTACATATGACCCTATCTCAAAAAATGGGGGTGGAGGGAAATGGGAGAGGCTGGAGAGACTGCTCAGCGGTCAAGAGCATGTGCTTGGTTAAGAGCATAAGTACTCATCCTGGGGACCTGAGTTAGGTTCCCAGTACCATGTCAGCACCCAATCATTTGTAACTCTGGTTCCAGGGGAACCAATGTCTCTGGCTTCTGTGGGCACCTGCCCTCAGGTATGCACACACACACACACACACACACACACACACACACACACACACACACACTTAATCTTTTAAGAAGAAAGAGAAATGTGTATTGTAGAACCCACTAAATACGTAATTACTATCATTTTCCTTTTCCTGAATTAATTTAATTCTTTTCAGTTAAATTTAATTCTCTCTTTTCCTCTGTAATCCACAGTCTCAGAAGACAGGTCTGTACTTACTGTTCCTTTCTCTCTAGTTCCTCCTTGCTAATGCATTCTGATCCCCACCATTCCAATGGCAGTCTGTTCTCAGCCCTTATTCACAGCTATTCAACAACCAGTAAATCTGTATCGTCCATCGGAAAGATGAGTCACAGCATCTTAGAGCTATGTAGTCTCTCCATCCTGCTCTCTTCTCAAGAAAAAGGCTCTTGTTGGGCGTGGTGGCACACACCTTTATTTCCAGCACTCTGGAGGCCGAGGCAGGGCTATCTCTGTGAGTTTGAGGCCAGCCTGGTTTGCATATCAAGTTCCATGACCGGTCTACGTGATGAGACCCCCATCTCAAGAAGGAGGAAGAGATGATGATGAAGTTTTTCTTTTTTAAAATTAGCTTCATAGCTTTTAAAAAGATTTATTTATTTTATGTATATGAATGTTTTTTTTCCTGTGTATATCTCCCTGGTGCCCAAGGAAGTCAGAAGAGGGCATTGGGTAACCTGGGATTGGAATGTTTTACATGGTTGTGAGCCACCCTACAGTTTCTTGGGATTCAACTTGAGCCCTCTGCAAGAACAACAGGTGCTCATCTGAGCCATCTCTCCAGCCCCAAGGCTCTTTCTTTTGGTGACAGAAAAACAAAACAAAACAAACAAACAAAAAACAGCTGTCACCTCAAAGAGGATATGAAGTAGTTTATTTTAGAGGCAAATATCAGTGAATATGTCCTGAAAAACACAGATTTAAGTCACCAAATTCCATATTCCAGAGAGGTACCAGTTTCATGAAAGTAATAGAACAAAGAACATAGCAAATCAAGGCTCTTTTAGAATAACACATAGGTAGATTACAGCAACGCTGGGGAATCTCTCCCATAACCCTCAGTCGCTGAGATCTCTCCTCCAGAACTCAGATGTTACCTGCTGCTAACATTCCTAGCTTTTGAGTTGGTGGAAGCAAACCTTCTAAAAGGACTTACCTAATAATCACAAGGATGCTAGATCTTACACAGAGATGGGCAATAAATAGCTACTCAAAGAGTACTAAGATAGCCCAAGATAAATTATACTTAGGCTCTGTATCTGCAGCATTCCAACTTCTCTGCAATCATTGATGCTCTAATTAATTGACCAGTTTTTGTAAAATGTTCAGTGTAGGTATGGCCTATTTTTAGGAACTTAATACTTTTACTACATCTATCTATCTATCTATCTATCTATCTATCTATCTATCTATCTATCTGTTTGGAGTTCTTCTCAGAGGCTGATTATCTTCCATCATGTAGGTCCTGGGGATGTTTTCTAACAGGTGCCTTTGCTCGTTAAGCCCCCTTTCAGCCCCATTTTTGGGAATTTGCATTCATGTTTAACTTTGAGACGGGGTCTTATGTAGCACAGGCTGGCCTCAAGCTCACTATGTTGCCCAGAACTTCTGGTCCAACTTCCTCCATCTCTTGAATGTTGGGATTATAGGTATGTACCGCCACACCTAATTAAATAGTATTGGTACTCACACCTAGAGCTTTGTGCTTGTTAGGCAAGCACAGCTACACACCCAGTCCTCCTCTCTATAGCTTTGATTTATAATTCATATAGCTCACAATTCACCTATGTAAGCATTCTTGGCCTGTTCACAGAAGTGAGCAATTATCAGGACTATCAATTTTAGAACGTTTTAATCTCTCAGTTCAAAACATCATGTTCATCGGCAATTACTCCGTGTTTCCTCCCAACCCACCTAGCCCCTGACAACTAGTAATCTATTTTGTTTCTCTGTATCTATTATGGACATTTTGTATAAATGAATGTATTGTCTTTTGTGATTGGCTCCTTTCACTTAGCATGCAGTTTTCAAGATTCACAGAATTTATTTATTTGGAGAGGTATTTATTATTATTTAGTTATTTTTGAGCAGTGTCTTCCTCTGTAGGCCAGGCTGGCTTTGAACTTGACGCCCTTTTGTTCCAGACTCTTGAGTGCTGGAACTACAGGTATGTGCCACTATTCCTATTTTATTCAATTGATAGGTGCTTTAGGTTATTCATTTTTTAGCTATTATAATAATGTGGGTAGATATATTGGGCATATGCTTTTTTGTGCATGTATTTTCATTTTTCTTGAGTATATACTTCAGAGTAGAGCTGAAATAGACTGTTTAGCCTTTTTCACGAAGGCTTTGCCATTTTACATTTCCATGGGGTCATTCCACATCTTCACCAGTCTTTGGGATGATTGGGCATTTGAACATAACCATAGCCATCCTATTGGGTACGGTTTTTAATTTTTAGTTTGCTGGTAGCTGCTGTATTGAAACCCTTTCTTGCTCTCTGGCTTTTTAACATATATTTTTGAAGGAATATCTACTCAGCTGCTTTGCCGATTTTTACAATAGTAGGTTAGTAGATGTGAAGGAAGAAATACATGGCCATCTTATATTTATCATGGTATAACACAACACTTACCATTTTCACAGTGTTTTTAACTGAGGGTGTATGTGCCACAGCATGTGTGTGGAGGTCAGAGGAGAATTTTTGGAAGTCAGTTCTTGCCTTCCACCTTGTAGAGGCAGGGGCTCCTTCCAATTTTTGCTCCTGTGTGGCAGTGTACTCTGGGCTAGACTGGCTTGTGAGTTTCTCGCTAATTTTCCTGTCTCTATGTCCTGTCTCAGGTAGGAATGCTGGGAAGGCAGATGTACACCACCACATCTGGCTTTTTATATAGGTTCAGGAGATCAAACTCAGGTCTTCAGGGTTGTATAGCTAGTGCCAATCCATCTCCCAGACCCATTAACCATTATGTTAAAATTAACTTATATTTTATTTAGTTTATCCACACACATGTGAAGGTCAGGGGGCAACTTACAGAGAGAGGTTCATTCTCTCTTTCTGTAATGTGTATCCATCCTTGTGGATTGAACTCAGGTCTCGGGCTTGACAGCAAGTGCCTTTACCTGCTGAGCCATCTCACTGACCTCCCTTAACTATTTTAAAACATGTAGTTCTATATTGTTAAATTACATGCTATTACATTTTCATAGCATTCACAATGCCATGAAACTATCACCACTGTCCATTTCCAGAACTTTTTCATTTTCCCTAGATCAATCTCTGTACTCATTAAGTATTGTCTCGCCAATCCTCTCCTGCCAATAGCCCCTGGAAACCACCTTTTTTGTTTGTTTGTTTTTTGAGACAGGGTTTCTCTGTTTAACAGTCTTGTCTGTCTTGGAACTCAGTCTGTAGACCAGGCTGGTGTTGAACTCACAGAGATCTGCCTGCCTCTGCCTCCCAAGTGCTGTGATTAAAGGCGTGTGCCACACCTGCCTAGCTGAAACCACCATTTTTTGTCTCAATGAATTTGACTACTTTACAAACCTCATAGGAGAAGCTGGAGAGATGGCTCAGTGGTTGAGAGCAGTGACTGTTCTCCCAGAGGACCCGAGTTCAACCCCCAGCACCCACATGGCAGCTCACAACTGTTTGTAGCTCCAGCACCAGGGGATCTGATACCTTCCACCAATACACATAAAGTTAAAAAAATTACTTAAAAAACAAACCTCATAGGAAAGGACTCATGCAATATTTGTCCTTTTGCTTATTTCCTGTAGTATAGTGTCTTTAAGTTTTATCTATAAGTAGCGTTTGTCTATTTTTCTTTCTTTTTGATGGGAGCTTACAAACAGCCTTTATTCCTTACAACACTAAATAACAAGAGGAGAGAACACATCAACAATCACTCCAAGGACAGTGCCACCTATCTGTTTGTGAATAATACTTCTGTCACTGTGGGTTGTCATGCATTGCTCAGGTCCCTGCTTTCCCTTTATTTGAATATATACTAAGAAGAGGAAGTGCTGAGTCACATGTGATTTTATGTTTTAAGTCTGGAAGAGCAGCCAGAGCTCTTAACCTCTGAGCCATCTCTCCAGCCCCTGGTGTTTGTTTATTTTTATAATGCAAAGGGATAGAGCCCAGGAACTTGTGACTGCTCCTCCAGCACTCTACCACTGAGCCATACTCTCAGTTTTCTTTTTTTCCCAGGGGTTGTTTTTGCAAAAATATTCTTAGTAGGTATAAAATGGTTGTCTTAGTATTGTTGAGTTCTAAGGTATTTTAGCCTCCACCTCCCAAGTGTTGGGATCATAAGTACACACCATCATATCTAGTGCTTCCCCCCTCTCTCCAGGGTCTCTAGATATAGTCCTTGCTATCCTGGAATTTGCTATATAGAACAGGCTGGCCTTGAACTCACAGAGATCCACTTGTTTCTGCCTTTCAAGTGCTGGGATTAAAAGCATGTGCCACCATGCCTGTCTTGAAGAGAAAGTTTTAATATTTGTCTACCCTTAATTCTGTGGCTCTGTACTTTGCCATCATATATAAGAATCAATCATCAAACCTATGGTCATATTTGCATCTCTAACTTTTTACAAGAGCTTTGTGATTTTAGTGTTTGTATTTAGGTCCTTGTCTATTTTGAATGAATGTTGTATACAGTGAGAGGTAGGGTCAAACCTCAATCTTTTATGCATGCATCATTCTTCTGAGTCTTCTGACAAGAGTGCCAAGAAATGCAACAAAAGAAAAATAACCTTTTCAACAAGTCACGATGAAATGATAAATTTCCAGGGGATCTGACATCCTCACACAGACATACAAGAAGGCAAAACACCAATGCAGGTAAAATGAGAATAAACAAATCATTAAAAAAGAAACAGAATATTCCATGCATACCAGAATCTCATTCCAATTGCTACTGTATTGCTTCTAAAAATTAATTTAATCTTTGATAATATCCTATGTAACAATCTGGTCAAACTCATCCTTCCACCATCCCTTATCTTCCTCCCATTCCCACTACTTCCCTCCTCCTCCTACCACGTACCCCTTTCATTTTTTGTGTCTTTTTGTTTTAAGCAGGGCTGTGCCCTTGGGCATCGGTGTGAAGCTGTCCACTGAAGCATAAGTGTGAATCTGCCCGCTGGAGCATGGGTGTGAATCTGCCCGCTGGAGCATGGGTGTGAATCTTCCCACTGGAACTTGAGTTTGAAGCTGTTCACTGGAGCATGGGTGTGAAGCTGTCCACCGGAGCATGGGTAATTCACAAGTGGCTGCATCACTGAAGACAAAGACTTCCTCTCTCTGTGAAGCTAGACTGCCATTCACTCCGCTAGTTAGAAAGGGGCCCAGAGCTTTTAAAAATTGAGGTAAGGCTGGAGAGATGGCTCAAGAATTAAGAGCACTGGCTGCTTTTCCAGAGGTCTTGAGTTCAATTCTCAGCAACCACATGGTATCTCACAACCATCTATAACAGGACCTGATGCTCTCTGGCATGCAGGGATACATGCAGAGCTTGCATACATAAACTATAAATAACATTTAAAAAGCTGGGTGGTGGAGGCACACGCCTTTAATTCCAACACTTGGGAGGAACAGGCAGATTTATCTATGTGAGTTCCAGGCCAGCCTGGTCTACAAAGGGAGTTCCAGGACAGCCAGGGGTGTTACATAGTGAAAACCTGTATTGAAAAACACAGAAATAAATAAAGAAAAAAGGAAACCACTTTCAGTTAACTTTCTACTTCCTATACATTCTAGCATCTCCTAAAATCATCTGCAGTTTTGGGGGAAAGTAGGAGGGAGTTCCTGAATTTCCATACGAATTTTAGAATCACTGCATCTGTTTCTGTAAAATGTCACCTTGAAATTTTAATGGTAATTGTGGTTGTTGCTTAAACTCTTGTAGTTTAATTTGAAGAGTATTGCCTTCCTAACAGTGTCAAGTCTTCTGGCCTGTGAATGGGTACTATTTGTCCATGTACCTAGGTCTTTGGTTTCTTTCAGTTATTTTTTTAAGTTTTCAGTTATAACTTTTACACTCTTTAATAAATTTATTCCTAAATATTTTATTCTTTTGATATTATTATAAATGAAATTAATCTCTTACTGAATTTATTTGTTTATTTATTGCTTCAGTATAGAAATATGATGAGGTCAGTTTTTTGTTTGGGCTTTTGTTTGTTTTGTTTGGTAGATGTATTTGGCTATGTAGCCTTAACTGGCTGATACTGTGTAAAAGTTGAGCTCAAATATGACTTGATGGCATTCTGCTTCTCTGAGAACTGGGATTACATGTGTGTGCTGCCATGTCTGACTTTACTATTGAATTTTGTATGTTGTACTGTGCAATTTGGCTCAACTTATTTATTAATCTTTTAATTTTTAGTAGATTCCTTGGTAAATAATTTGCTTCTTTGTTTCCAGTTACTGTGCCTTTATTTCATTTTCTTGCCTAATTGTCCTGGCTAGAATTGATTATACAATATAGAATAAAAATGATAAGAGTTAGGGCTGGAGAGATGGCTCAGAGGTTAAGAGCACTGACTGCTCTCCCAGTCTTGAATTTAATTCTCAGCAACCACATGGTGGCGCATGACCATCTATAATGAGTTTCGGTGCCCTCTTTTGGCTTTCAGGTGTACAGACAGAGCACTCATACATAAAGTGTAAATAAAAGAATTTTTAAAATAACAAGAGTGTAGATATTTTGTCTTAGGAGAAAACACTCACCATTTGGCCGTTACAATGGTAGGCATGGGCTTTTTATAGTTCTCGAGGATGCTTCTTCACCTCTGCTCCTTCTCCAAGTCTCTATTGGAAGGTCAGGGGAGGGATACTAGCTCATTTCTTTAGTAGAGAGACTCACACCTGTTTGACTCCAAAGGTACTTGGATGGCCTTGGTAGCCTTTGGTGTCTGGCTTGCCAGTGTGGTACCTCTACAAACTAGCTGTGGCAAGGACCATCAAGGTTTCAGAACATGAAGTTCTTCTTTTGGAGGGGGTTTCGAGGCAGGGTGTCTCTGTGGCTTTGGAGGCTGTCCTGTAACTAGCTCTTGTAGACCAGGCTGGTCTTGAACTCACAGAGATCCTCCTGCCTCTGTCTCTCGAGTGCTGGGATTAAAGGCATGGGCCACCAATGCCCAGCTGAACATGGGGTTCTTTACACTGCCCTTTGGAGGTGGTTAACACCTTCATTTTTTGTTTGTTCTGTTTTATTTTTTTCAAGACAGGCTCTCATTATGTAGCTCTGGCTGTCCTGGAACTCACTTTGTAGACCAGGCTGTCTTGGAACTCCACCTGCCTCTGCCTCCCAAATTCTGGGATTTATAAAGGTGTTCACTGCTATGTCTGTCTAATTCAGACAGGCTCCCTATGTATTTCAGGCTGGCCTTGAACTCAAAACATTCCTGCTGGTTACAGGCCTGCATCACCATGCCCAGCTTTTAAATGTTTGAGTGAACAATATGGCTCTTCTCTCTCTCTCTCTCTCTCTCTCTCTCTCTCTCTCTCTCTCGTTTTTCGAGACAGGGTTTCTCTGTGTAGCTTTGGAGCCTATCCTGGCACTCACTCTGGAGACCAGGCTGACCTGGAACTCACAGAGATCTGCCTGCCTCTGCCTCCCAAGTGCTGGGATTAAAAGCATGTGCCACTAACGCCCGGCTTCTTTTCTCTTAAGTGTAGTATCTGCCTTAGTGTGATAAACATATCTTAGGCAACCACATGGTATCACACCTTGTGTAACCCTCTCTTCTCAAAGACAGGCACACTTGTGACTTGCATCACATGTGGCCAAGATGATGGATTGTACTCCCTTGATTAAGATGCTTTATATGACAATGGTGATAGGTTTTTATTCTCATGATTATATCAGGTTATAAGAAACTATTTCAGCCAACTAGAGGAAGAAAAACTTTCCCATTACTCTCAATGAAGCAAAATATCATGATTTAAATCTTCAGTGGAAAAGGCCATGGCAATCTCTAGGAACTGAGGGTATCAACCCTACAACAACAGTAATCTAAATTCTGCCAATGACCCTGTGAACTCTGAAGGACATCCTGATCTCCAGGTGCTAGCTTTGCCTACACCATGTTTTCTGTCTTGTGGGATTCCGATAAGAGGACCCAGCTACTTTATTATTGGACCCCTGAACCAGGGGTACTGAGATAATAGATGGGATTATCATAAAGTGTAGTAGATACATAATATACTTACACTGTTATTCATTTAGAGTTTATTTCGATGAATAGCTCTAGGTATTCTTAATTTTAACTCACTTTATTTTATCCTTATAAAAATCAAGTTTTGTTTTGTTTAAAGATTTATTTATTATGTATACAACATTATGCCTCCATAAATGCCTGCACGCCAGAAGAGGGCACCATATCTCATTACAGATGGTTGTGAGCCACCATGTGGTTGCTGGGAATTGAACTCAGGACCTCTGGAAAAATAGCCAGTTCTCTTAACCTCTGAGCCATCTCTCCAGCTCCTCAAGTTTTTTATTTTATTTTATTTTATTTTTATCTTATTTTTATTTTCTCTTTTATTGAGACAGAATCTTACTATGTAGCCCCATTTGGCTTTTAACTTGCTATGAAGTCCTGACTGGCTTTGAACTCCTGGTCCTCTTGTCTTAGTCTCCCAAATGCTGAGATTACAGGCATATGCCATCTGTCATGTGATGTATATAGAGGTAGTGGCCCAGGGGGACAGGGAGGGAGCTGAGACAAACTTTGGCCGATACTTTATATATTAAAAACTTTAATATGTATACAAAAGAGTAGGTTTTTATGATAATTTCATACATGTTTATCATTGCATTTTGTGTTTGCCCTTCTCACCAAAGTTTTAAAACTAAATATGTTGCTTTCAAAGGTTTGTCAGCATGTTTACCTTCTTGATTTGGAGCTGATCTGGCATATAGATTGTTCGGTAAATGGTGGTCTTCTGTGAATTCTTCCCGATGGCGTTCAGAACTCTTACTGCGTAGTGCTGGCTAATCTTGGTTGTCAACTTGACTACATGTGGAATCAACTAAATCTCAAGCTGCTCCGCACTTCTGTGAGGGATTTTCTTGAATAAATTATCTGACATAGGAAAATCCACATTAAATCTGTGTCTAACCTTCTGCTGGCAGCCCACATAAAAGGACATGAAAGAAAGAAACCACTTTGTGCCTGCTTGTCCCAGCTCTCACTATCAAGTCCAGCTATGCAGCTGCTGGGGCATTTCTCCGCTGGTATTTGAACCAGCTTCTTCAGGATCTCAGTGTAAACTGAAGAGCAGCAGCTCTCTAGGAATCCTTTAGTCTTTCAACACCACATTGGGACTACTGAGATATCCAGCCTCATACAATTACCAAATTCTCACACTCTCCAGTGTGAGACAGCCTAGAGTGTATCCTGTAAGCCAATCGAAAGAATCCCCTTTTAATAAATATATTAAACACATACACACTGTTGTGCCCAAATTCTGAATCCCCCAAATCACCGAGAGACCCATTCTGATGCAAAAGCAAAGAGTCTTTTATTGTTTAATGAGATAACCGCATTAACTCGGTCCCTTCATCTGCCCTATACAGCAGCTGGTGTGAGAAGAACCCCAAGAAACCTTGAGGTGGGGAGATTATTGTGCAGTGCAAGGAGAGTGTCTAGGGGTACAACAACAGTCTCAGGATTGGTGCACTTCTGGGATTGGTTGACCTATCCTGTGTTGATTGGTCAACTGGTTGTTATGGCCTATAGGCCACCCACCCCCAGGATGGTTGCTATGCTCTGTGTGTCACTGTTGTGCCACTTTTACCATAAAGCAAGCCCAGAGCCATAAAGCACATTCAGAGTCCCGTCAGCTAACTTCTGATTGGTTCCTTGCCACGTGGAGGGTATCTGACCTCCTAGTGACTAGGGCAGGCCCAGCAAGGTCAGACATATGTTGAATCAGAGGCCTACATGTCTTTTCTGCAGCCTGTCATGGCTGCTAAAGCAGGGGGCTCGCTGAGGGTCTGGTCCTTTCAACACATATATTCATTATCTTGGTTCTGTTCTTTTAGAGAATGCTGATTAATATACAGTTTATTGTAATATTCTGTTTACATGCTTGTCTTCCCTACTATACTGTGAGCTCCTTGACTGAGCCAGGCAGTGGTAGTGCACATCTTTAATCCCAGCACTTGGCAGGCAGAGGCAGGTAGATCTCTACAAGTTCATGGCCAGTCTTGTCTACAAAGTGAGTTCCAGAACAGCCAGGGCTGTTACACAGAGAAACCCTGTCTCAAAACACCAAAAAAATG